ACCGACTTGGTTAAGTCTGACGGAGAAGCTCTCTCATATGTCCGCGCAAGGCTTTAAAAGGGGGAGCACACTAAATTGGGGGGTCATTCGAGATTGGTCCGCATCCCTGCGGTGTGCCTTTGTTCAGTGCGGCCCATTGGAACGCTCTGTAAGTAGAGGCAAATACGCCATTTTTATTTCTTTGTGGTTAGTAGGAACTTGTTGAGTGTTAGCACTAGAAGATTTCTGTTCAGACTTATAACCAGGATATAGTGTAGAATAACCTACAGCGTGTAGACTTATGCTCAGGCTATTTTAAAGGTTAACATACAACCGGTAAATAAATCCTTTAATAGGATTAATAAATTAGATACCAGTGACCAGGGTGTGTGAGCGTAACAAACAACTGCATATCGTTCTGGGTACACATACTGCAGTGCGCTTATAAAATAAGCTATTGATACAACAGTATACAACCAGCGAGTGTCCGTCAAATATGTGTAATAGGCTAACTTTCCTGCCGTGTGCTAAATTCTCACATAGGAAATGGTGCATGTGTGAGGATCATATTACATATAATGATTCATTCTGCAATCTGCTGTTGTCTTAACAAGACACAGCGATGGGCAGATACAAGTATCAAGCCAACGGTGGTCATACTTTATACCATTGTATGTACTGTCCTGCTATGGGTGCTTCTTACATAGACACCATAACTGGATGGCATACTATAATAACTTCAAGATCTTTAAGGTTTATGTTAACCCTCACATCGCACTCTGGTTCTGTGTGTAGCATTAACACTGTGCACGTGTTTCAAATTAAACACTGCACGTGGTTTCTTAAACATTCGTAATACAAAATAAGTATCTTTGCCATGTGTATGAAACAATGCTACGTACGTATCATTTATCATGTTTTCTAATGAAGTATATGTTGTCGCCACGTGTAATTACGTGGTTATGTAACATGATTATTGTTAGCTATGTTAGACAGGACATTGTTGACCTGTACTATTTGTTTATTTTCAGATATTGTCCTTTTTCTTCATAGAAGCTTTTTCTTCATAGGCTTCTTCTCCATAGTTCATAGTGTCCTTTTTCTTGTTTTCATCATAGGAGAGCATTAATTAAAAAGCTATAGTCCTCAAGACCTGATTGTTTCATTTTGATTTTGATCTTATTTATAAAACTGTAAGCTAAACGCCATCCACTCGGCTACATATATATAACTTTTTAGCAAAAATATACAGCTATTTACTTTGTTAAGCTATAAAACATGTATTTTTAATGAGCTTTATTATCAGTAATTTAGAAACAATTTATGCAAACAATGTTCTACATTTATTATCCAAAAGTAACATTTTATTTTTAGACAGTACTTTTTGCAAATGCTTTTTTGAAATATAAATAAATAATAAATAAATAAATATTAAATAAATATTTGAGTTATAAACATGTTATGTAATAAAAATAGAAGAATTTCAAGTCAATTTTAAACAATGTCAAAAATATTTATGTATATAATTTAAAGCAAATATAAAACTTTTTTTTTGTCATAATTTTTACAGGGCTCGGTACAATTTTCGAGGATCTAGACGACCAAACACAAAACACCCAGTATTCACAGAAGGGAACTTATCTCAAAGTATTAACCAAAGCAGAAATGTTTCACTCAGACAAAAGTATGTAAAAACGAAATAATTTTTTTTTCCCTTGAAAATAAACAGTGACATAGGACAAAAAAAAATCACTTTGATTTTTTGAGAAGCATTCATTTTTTGAGAGAGTTATTATACATTTTAATCTGTTTTATTTGTTTCCATTTACTTCAATCTATTTATTCTAAATAAATTGTTATACAAATTATTGTGACTAGATTTGGTGACAAGCCTCCCAGCTTCAAGCAAGGGGATAGAGCTAAACAAAACACTCATATCACATAGTTTAAGGTAAGATAAAAATAATTTAAATGTAAAAGATTTTTTAACTTAATTCCTAATACTGGTGCTTGGTGCTCGTGCAGTTTCATAAATGATATAATTTATGGACTTTTGGGTGTGTGCAAATATCTGTCATTACAAGTCCTTAATCAATCAGCATCCTTAGAGATTCTGGCAATATCAAATTTGAATATTTGACTTAATCTTTACAGAATTCCTTGGATGAATTGCTAAAATCCATGAAAGGTGCACATCCATATTTTGTCAGGTATGAATTTCATCTTATTTATTCTTAGGTTATTTAAATCATGAAGACTAATGGAGTCATGGTGTAAAAAAAATTAATGCAAAGATTTTAATGATTATTAAAATATCCTACTTTAAAATTAACATAATTATGAAAACTTTCTAGATAGATACATAACTTATGAGCTCAGCTTGTGCAAATTTACTTCTAAATATAGATTTCACTGCATCTTATTAAGTTTGTATATTTAATAAATTCAGATGCATCAAACCAAATGACAGACAGAAGCCAAATGACTTCTCAGAAGAAAGAGTCAAAATTCAACTTCAATACAATGG